TATATATATATATATATATATATATATATATATATATATATACACATATAAATATATTTCACAGATGTATGTAACTTGCAATCATCGATATATCTATATAAAATATAAATTCAAAAATATTAAAAGATATTATTAATAAGTATTGTTTAATAATATATAATAATATGGAATCTCCATTTCATTCCCATTTCTTAACCATTTTCTAACAAAAATATACATACATAAAAGTACAATTGCATAAAAATCTAATAATAAATATTAACCTTATTTCTCTCGTATCATGTAAAATTATCTAAACATCATACAGTGAACAAATTTAAAACATTTCATTTATATTTTATCTCTCTTCTCTCTTCTCTTCCTTCTTCCTCATTAACCAAAAGATCAAACCTTCGGTTAACACGAACGAATCTAATTAACTCTCTTTCTTATTACAGATCATCCACGCTGACAAATCCAGAGGACCTAGTAAATGTCGGAAGTCCCCTGAGGGAAGCATCGCCGCGGCCGGAAGTACGGGTGGTTGCACCTGCACATCGACCTCCCTCTGTCCTTGCGACGGTCAACAACACGAACAACACGAACAACGGATCTGCGAATCGCAAATCGGTCAGCATACTGCTTCCCGAACACTCGAGTGGATGACCCCAACAGCAACACGGCTTTGTTCATCGTTGCGACAAGGACCCTCCAACGATTTAGGAATCCAACGGAAACGAAACGACGAAGGATAGAAGCAACGATGACGAGGCTCGATTGCGCGACGAACGAGATACGAGATATTCGTCGGACAATCGGCGAACATCGGCGGACATCGGCAAACATCGGCGTCGCCAGCCGAATCTAGCCGAATTTAGCCGAGCCGCGACGATGATTTCGAGAGCGATTTATTACGGGCATTCGTTCTTGGCAGCCAGATCTCTGAAAAAGTGGTCCATCGATATTCGTGACTAATGTAAATTAAACGAAATAGACAGGCGAAGTTAATTCACGCTATTGGCAAACATTCAATTATCGGTTTCGCCCCGCCAGCCAGGAATTGCTGGATAATTCACGCTGCCGGAGCGATAGCCGAGTAAAAACGAGCCGTTCGTCTGTAATTGCTTTAAAACTGACTAATTCATTCGCGTTATATCTCATAGAATGTCTTGTTTTGTTTTTTCGTATTAAGCGTATTACTGCTCTGTCACCGTATGCACGTGCTTCGAAAGAGAAATGTATTGAGGATTCTTGTAAGGATAATATGTTCGTGTCTGATGATGAAAACTTTCTTTACTTTCTTCGATGAACGAGACGTGGAAAGATTTGCGGAAACGTAACAACTTTGAACTTCCAATTAAATCGTTGTATTATTCCCAAGATCCAGTGGAAGCTCAAATTCTTTGTAGCGTATCTTGAGAGTAATAGCTTGTCGAATCTTGCACGGTCTGATATCGTATAATGTTAAGAAATATAATCCTGCCATGCGAGAAGGTGATTTCTTATCTCTTCTTCTTTTGCAAAAATATTTCTTTTTATTTAAGTTGCATTTATTTCGCTATTTCAGAAGTGGAAACAGTGTGATCGATACAAGAAGTTGAATGAAATGAACGTGCAAGAGATTCAAATTATATAACATCGTATCGAAACAATATATAGGATACATCGGAGTGGAACCATATCTGCAGTGGATTCTATATATGAAAACAATAAAAAAAAATTCATACAAACATATTTCCTATTTTATCTTGTTTTTAAATTATAGCAAGTTTTATATTGGAATAATTCTTTTAAAAAATTGAATCATCTACTTATTTACAAAGAGAACTTAATATTTAATTATATTTTAATTTTGTATTCATTTAATATCTCCCGTATGAGCTATTACATTAAATATCCGATTATTAAAATCAATAATGTTGAAAATGAAAAATTTTTAATAAGAAATGATGAATATGTCTAATATATCTAATATATGAATTCGAATGAAGTAAAACATGTACAGAATTTTTTTTCTTTTTATATGAAATTTAATGCTTTCATCTCGTACGAAGAGGAAATATTTACAAAATTAAGATGTATAATTTAATATTAGATACTGATTTCTCTTTGTAAATAATTATTCAAACATAGAATTCGCTTTAACTCGAAACAAAATCAAATAGGATGTATAAACTTTTCTTATTATTTTCATGTGTGCAAAATCCATGATCGAAGTGATTCCACGATGTTACAAGACATTGTATAAAATATAAAAGTATAAAAGTCAAATTATCGATTGCCAAAATTTAAGTTGACGATTGCAAGAAAAACATCTGCCAAGTTTCAAGATTTCTTTGAGACTCTTGTTTTAAGCAATGCAAGATATGAAGCTGACTATACTCTGCCGTCATCCTATCGATATTTATAGGTTGGCCCAGATTTATGCAGCTTTGGTCGACGTGGAAATCAAAAGCTTCGAAACAAGTCTCGAGGGTTCAAAATGGCGGCGTTTCTCAGCGACAAAAGGTTATCGAAGTCAATGGTTAATTGTTAGTTGAGATATAAAAAGAAAAAGATAGGATTCGTTGCTTTCTCGCGCCATTTTATAATTTATAAAAGCGTATCATCTCTTCTTTCGTTTCTCGTTTAATTCTTGACAAAAAAGATCTCCGCAATGTTTGCGTAATATTTCATCTCTCGAATTCTTTGAATATTCCTCGCTTCTCTCGTTGAATTTCTTTGCGACAATGATAGAACGATCGGCTGATCCAATCAATGAAAAATCTAATCGAGAATCTAACGCTTCTTGGAAACGATATTTATAAATAAAGAAGAAGTGTCAATTTAATTAATTTTAAGTTTAAGAAGGCAGTATTAAGCATGTCGTATTAACAATTGTTATTAAATTTTTCACAAACGAAAAAAAAAAAAAGGAGAATTACGCGATTTTAAGAAATTGAACTAACGTTATTCACGTGACGATCCAATTTATTTGGACGAATATTTAAATCCTTTTCTTTCTCAATTCGATCGTACGTTAAAAAGGAAGATAGAATGTGAACGAAAGTTATGAAAAAAAAATATTACGTCTGTAATCGTGAAAGGGATGGATAACAGAATTTTGAATGCACTAAACGTTCCATCTCTGAATTTTAAATACGACAATCAATGAATCCAAGAAATCATTCTGAACAAATTGTTGCGTTCTTCGTGACTATTATACCAGTCACGCGATAATAATAATAATAATACATCGTTCTTTCCTGTTGTATAAAACACTGGAAAGTTACAAGTGAATTTAATGAAAGATTTCGAGAAATCTGAGAAAATTTATGCTTATATATATTCACGAAAACATCGACTGCTAATTGACTGTAAATGTAAATTTATAAATGTCATTCCACTGCTGCTCCAACTTGTATCGAAAAATGAAAAATCGATTTTACACATAGTGCATTCGTGATATAATAATTTAAACTGGAACACGATAATATCTTGTTTTCATTCCCGTTGAAAAATCGTTAAAAAAAAAAACAATAACATTTTTACATTATAATAAAAATAATCGAATCGCACATTGTGCGTTATAAGATTCGCGTGGTCATCATTAAATATGAAGAAGAAAGCATGATAAACAAAATATGCTCAGAAACTAGTTTAAAAACGAAGAAAAATTGATCTGATAAAGAAAAAAAAAAACATCAAAAAAAGTATAGATGAATTTAAAAATGTGAAGAAACGTTTCGCAAAAAAAAAAAAAAGAACAAGCGATCCTGTATCTCTTTTGTCATCTTAGGTAAATTAACAAATTTCACCGTCTGATAAGATCTAGCTATGAGTTTTGCCCACGATAATATTATATAATCGCAAAAAGAAAAAAAAAAAAGAAAAAAAACGCTTAGGTGAAATTAATCGAGAAAAAAAGACTCCTAGGATTCGTTGAAAAATCCTTTCGATGGTGCTTCGTGGATTAGTGCTTGATCGAGTATATCGAGGAAAAATCGTTAAACGAATACTTCGAATAGGAAATTATCGTGGGCGCTAATTACACATAGTCTTTAAGATTCTAAACTTAAGATTAACGCATATGAATCGTTCATAATTCATTGTCTGCTCGGTGATTGCGACGGAATGTGAAGAAAAGATCGTCATTCGTTCAATAGTTAATGCATAAATAGCATTAGACCAATATCGACGTGTTTCGTTAAAGTGAAATGAAAAAAATCATGTTTATTGCATGATTACTTCTTTAGTAGAGAAAAAAAATTTAACCTTCCAAATTTCATGTGCAAACAATAATTTCTGTAAGATTAATTTTCGAAGTGTTGCAAAGACTTTGTGATTTTAATTTTTTGGTTTTTCTCAAATCTAGTCCGAACTTCTTCATCCAAAATTAATTTTATATAATAAGAAATATTATTAATTTGAAAACAAGAATTAAATTATTGTAAATGAACAAAAGTCTGAAAAATCAATAAAAACAATTTTTATATTGTTTATAACGCTTTAAAAAATTTTGTTGATTAAAATTAAAATTCAAATTATTCACTTAACAAAGAATAATGTTCAATTGCTTGTATGCTAATGCTATATTATATTTGATAAAAAAAAAATGCAAATATATTGGTATAAATTACTAAAAAAAATTGGTAAAAAATCGAAATACACATCTCATCTTTTTATCATATATTATATTAAAATTATAAGTAATATCGTAAATACATGTATCAAATGGTCTGATGTTGTTTATATATTGTACTATTAAATTAGCGATGACTTTAAAACTTCTACGAATCTCGATCGGTCGCCTAAATTTCAAATTTCGTTTTCATTCGCGAAGGAATTCTTTTGATGAAATTCTTTCACTTTGGAATTTGGTTTCAGCGATACACGGTCTTGGCTGCGAAAGAAATTTCGAATAACGATCAAGCAAGCCACACGAGATTTTATTAATTAAGATTCTAGTCTTATGAATACATAGCTTGACGATACGTCAAGTGAGAAAACGATCGGCAAAACTGTTAGCCCGAGATAATCTTGATATCCAATTGTAAAACGTTTGTGGATCGCGTCGAGATTAGGCCTTTAGAATATATTATAATAGATAAGCTAGAAGGGATCCTATTACAATGATTGAAAAGAAGTAAATGAGTAAACATTAGAATGAAGAAACATGATTCGAAAATTTCATTTGGAAAAACTTCAACGTTTACGCAATGTGTTAAAAGATAATGATGTTAAACTTTAAGCTGTTAGAGAGTATAAATCTTCGAATCGAATCTCAAAAATCGTGTAGGATACATAAAGATTGCGCAATTCCAATTCCATTCTAATTCCATTCTAAGTTAAAGTGAAACTTCAAAAGTTAACTTACCGATTGCATTTAAACCTGTATTATCCGTCGAGTCGCTAGCCACAAACGTATTACGAAAGAGGACACTGGTTTCTGATATATCCGACAATATATTTACATTAATCGTAACGGTCTAGTACACATTCTCGTACGTAGTGTTCACTCTATGGCGATTGTTCATGCACCCGTAGGAAAAATTGGCGGAAAGAAAGAGGAGAACAAAAAGCGTAAAATTGGATGGAAGCGGAAACGATTCGGCGCGAAGAATTCGCGTATCAAAGGAATGATAAAAGTCATCGACCTAAAATTGCTCTCCGCGCGAATTAAAATGAAGAGGAGAAGAATGGAAAAAGTCAAGACCCATTGTGTCGTTCGGCGAGGCACTTCCTGTGCGAAATAGCGTGTGCCAAAAGATACGTTGAATTCTTATTTAGCGATATATGAATGTTCTCACGAAGATGTTTTTCGGTCTCCGGATCTGCACTTTCGATGCACTAGCGACACGAGTTTGCGACGAAAATCAAACCATACAGAAGAAGAGAATGTCTTGTTATTAATTATTTAAGAGTTATTCCTCGACGAAAATTCTACACACATATACATTACATATACATTACACACTCCTCACGTAGACACGTGGTTGAAAGCCACGTGAAGAATGGCTACTTAATATAACCATTCTTATGTGTATTATCGAATCGAATAAATTTCGTCGAAACATCGTACGCTCAATACGCGAATCGAGTCGATGCATTCCTTTCTTCCGGGATCGAAGATGTAGAACGGCGTATGTTCGTAGATCGAAAATCACGATGCGCCTTAATGCGTTTACTTATAGTTTAGGACAGAGCTTCCCAAACTTTTATGGGTCGAGACCCATATTTCAAAAGAAATTTGAATGAAAAATATCGTTTTTATTACTTTTAAATTTTTAATTGAATATATTTAATTGGTATATATAAATTTATTAATCAGACAACGAGTGAAAAAAAATGAAGGATAAGTTTGTCTTTTATTTTTGGTAATGATCTTAATTCATTCATGGTATGGTAATTTTTTTTACTTTCTTAACATTGAAAATTGATTATAGTTGATATATATAAAATTAGTACATATAAATTTATTAAACAGATAGATATGAAAGATAGGTTTGTCTTCTATTTTTTGGTAATTGTCTTAATTCGTTCATAATATAATTTTTTTACTTTCTTAATATTGAAAATTGGTTAAAATAAAGACAATCGAAAATTTATTATTGATGAATTTTAAATTGATAAAAATTTATACGAGAAAAAATGAGAGAATAAATGATATCAATTTATGTCAGTAGCTGCAAATAATTTAATATTAATTTCTTTGAATGAAAAATATTATTTTACTATTTT